AGCTACTTTGAGGATGAGCTTCTGAAGCCCTGTACTCCACTTGGAAGGCATGAAATGAAAAATTAACACCAAATGGAGCATTCTCAATGAACCTCGGATCTATCTTCTTCAGATAGCCAGTGTTGTTGGCATTCAGCAATCATCAATCCTAGACTTAGTACTTCAGTGAAATCAGTTTGTACAGCCGGTGAAAGTTGGTTGAACTAGCTATACATGCCTATTTGTCTGCTTAATGTTTTAGCCAGAAATCATATTTATCCTTTCTTTAACATTCTTTTTAATAGGCCTACTTACTCCATCATCATCTATCTTCATTCAAAGTTTGTTTACCTACTTTTTTACACTTCAGTATTATTAAAATATTTAGTGTTTATTTTTCAGCTTGTCTATAATTTCTCTCTTTCTAAGTCTACCTGTATATAATAATAGTCATATTGTATTATTAACCAATCTGAACATTACAGATTTATATTTCGTTTATTCATTATTGTTATTTGAAACTATTATTATGCCAGAGTATTCCGACTAGGATTAACTGTACTGAGCATACATTTCCCTCATGTTTCTTTTCTCTAATGGCTTTTGCCATTGACACATGAATTATGATTACTTTTCCTACAACGTTACTTCATATACTACTTATATCTATATAAGTAGAGCATACTATGACTATAATTATGTCATCATCTTAATTGGCTGCTTAGACCTATGTTAAGTGCTCATTGGCTGGCGGTGAGTGTTAAGTTCCAGGACTGGATTGGACTGACTGGCTGACTTGTTTCAACATAGAACTTTGCCTCGATGTGCAGTAGTCCGAGTCGCTACACTACTTTAATGTAGCAAACGAAGCAAAAGAAGAAAGTAAATAGAGACAGTAAAGAGACATGAGACAAAAGGAATAGTAATAAAGAAGAACAATATAGTTTCATTGGATATTATGAGTTACAAGGAGTGGATGCATCTAACAGTGCCAGTCATCGTTGACAACGATTTTCAGCCATATCACCAATTGTCTCCAGCCTTCATTGGTGTTTACCGTCCCGACGACCCTAACCAGGAAGTCTACACCTCCTGACTTGGCTGGCTGGCTTAAACTAACTGTTGCGCATTTCATTGATCGATGAAGCCATGTTTTGGTTTGACCACCAATGGCTCTTTTCCAACCTGATTCATCCTATTTCGGCTAACATTGCCTGTTGTCGAGGATGGCGATCGATAGGCTAGGCATGCGCAATACATGTCCTAACCATCTCAGTCAGTGTTACTTCACACCCTCGTCTATTGATTTCCCTTCACTTCCTAGCACTCGACCGATATCTAAATTCAATATTGCTCACCCTATTATACCTGACACGGGAGATAGAACGTAGGCATCTATGACCAAAGACAGCTAGTCAGCCTTTTCATGTCTTCCACTCTCAATGGCCATGTCTTGCTCACAGCCACTGAGATCCGAGCCAATAGATCTATGAACTCTAGCTTATCGCAAGTCGTGATATATAGCACAACCCCCAAATCCAATGTCACTGACGAGCAGCTGTCCTCCTCCTACCTGACTGGCTGGCTATATGGATGCTACTGGTCACGACTTCTCACTTCAAGTACCTTCCTCTATGGTGTCAGTCGGTAGTAAGCATCAGATTACTTTTCAAATTTTGGTGTACAGGGAAGGTCCTGAGCCCGAACCCAGGTGGGTGCGTATTGGTGAAGGATCCCAAATTACTACGCCAGTACTTTGTGGTCTTCCAACGGTTGCGTAACTGTTATCAAGTCATGAGGAAACCTATAAACTAATGAAATTCCTGAAAACTAACACTTCAAAATAATTTTTGTTTTGTATCAGTTAAAAATGTGCGGCAATTTCATGTGGTAAGGTTGTTTTACAATAAGAAGAGAAGAATTATGAGTCAGTGTTTCCCACGTGATCTGCAAGCTGCAGACATGCGATTAAAGATCGCGCCATTGAACTGTTATCGGTACATGCTAACCAGTCAAATTATAGCTTTGATATTTTACACTTGTAATTTAGTGGTCATGTGAAGTAAGTATACAATTCTGGTTACTGGCAACTATATTTGAAATCCAGAATAAAGATTTCGCACTACTTAGGACTTATCATCTGGATTCAACTGCACACACCCCACACAGTGAGTGATGGTGTTCCTGTTGAGAATCAAACCCTGGACCCATCGTTACAAACGTTAAAACATCATCCATTGTTCTCTGAGGGCCGCGCAATGAAAATCAGTTAATATTTGGTCTTTGGTTAATTTCACAATTCCCATTGACTGACTATCTCCTTAAATGACGACAAAGCGTCCGCACTAGAAGCTGACATATCAAAACAAACGGAGTATTTCGGTCCAACATAATTAGTCAACGAGAAATGAAAATTTCACCTAAAACTAGGTGCATAATTAACGATAATTACTGGTCTTGCTGCTTCTTCCTGGTGAAACAAATCTTTGCTTTCTCAATCTATATCTATCACAGTATGGGAATGGTATTTTAAAGTAATGCGTTAGACACAAATCCAGTATTATCTCAGTCACAACAGGTTTTAATTTTCACTAATAGCCTAAATGATAGCCTATTAGGATGCATATATATATCCTATAGTTGGTTGGTGGGGATTATTTTTGTTTTTTTTACGAGTTGATCATGGACTTTCATCAGTTAGAGAATCATTGAATACCAGGGAGTACTGGACAGATGTTTCACCCACTGACAGGGATCGAACCCAGGACCTCCCGGTGGGTGCGCACTAACGATGATTCTCAAACTAGGCTGAAACAGCTGCCTAGTGCTCCCTATGGCTGGTATTCAATGATTCTCTAACTGATAACAGTCCGTGATCAACTCGTAAAATAACAAAAGTAATTCCCAAAAACCAACTATAGAAAATTAATCTGATGTTCGCTAGTGAGTGACTGGCTACAGGACGGAGTTTCCTGGAATTCTAGTGAGAAGTCGTGACCAGTGAGGTCCATCCAGTCGGGAGTGAGGATGGAGCTCTCGCCTATGACATTGGTTGGTGCCAGTTGCGCTAAAATCACGAATTGGTAGAAGTTAAAATTCCTGAGTTGGCCATTGAGGAATCGGGTCCCGGTGGCTGAATGGTATACGAGCTCATCGGCCTTGTAACCGGAAGGTCCTGGGTTCGAACCCTGGAGGTGGGTGCGTACTTCTGATGGTCCCCAAACTAGGATAAACAGCTGTCTGGCAGTGCTCCCTGTGGCTCGTTTTCAATGGTTCTCTAACTGATATCAATCCGTGATCAACTCGTAAAAAATGAAGCATATATATTAACCTATAAATATGTAGAAACAAACGGATGATGATGAACACTGCTACTTCAAGTTATGAAAGAAAGAGACTGCATGGCAAACAACCTATTAAAGCGGTTATTTCATTTTTAAATGGAGGCTGTATATTATTTTAAGAAATCGTGAATTAAATAAAAATCACAATTTATACATGTTCATTTGTTTAGGGATTTTGAAAGCAACTGAAGCAAAAAGCTTACGTCTAAAGGGAACAAATGCTTTAGGCAGTGCCATCGCCAGGCATCTTCTTGACACGGGTCATGAGGTGGACGTGGAAAAGTCATTCAAAATTATCAATAAGCAAAAGAGTTCAATGCTCCTTAAGTTTGCTGAAGCGATCTACATCAAGCGCCTAAAACCTGATTTGTGCGTTCAGAAAGAAGCAGTTATCAGTCTTTCTTTGCCCTGGTAACTGGATATTTTTCATCCTAATGCAAGATACTGAAAAGTTTTCATTTTGTATGATTATTATTGCTCGGAATTGTGTTCAATATTGCATATATATTTATATATGATATATATAATTAGTGTATGTGTATATTGATCGATTGATTTCTGTTTAAAATGAACTCTGTGTAAGTATGTTAAATTGTTATTGTAGATACATTTAATAATGTTTTTGCCCTGTAAGCAGCTAAAGAGAAGGCGACGAAATAAAATATGGTACCATTTTATTCTGCTAAATCTGTAGTTGTTGCTTTGTTTAAATTCATTAAGGGGAACAAATGTATGAAACTAATGTGAGATGGCTGCAGACAACCGGCAAGAAGTCATCTCGGACTCAGGTTTTTTTGCTCATTACCAGTCGTCAGTAAGGCTTATCTGCAACCACAAAGGAACTAGCGCGCCTTGGGTCTTTAGTAAATATTTTTTTTTAAGTGATCATGTATAGAGAGAGGGGGCACCAGTAATTACATTCAAGCCACATAACTGTAAACTGGTAATTGTTCTTTTGTTTGTTAAAGCGTTTCAGATGAAATATTTAGACATTTTTTGAACCAGAACATGGCTAAAACGTGTTATATTTGAAAATCTGACTGAGTGTTGTTCAGTCATATCATACATATTATCAAATCAGATGGTATTAAAAGTCTAATAATACTCACTTTTTCGATCATATTATTTTAAAATTGAAAATTGTATGACTACGAACTTATTTGGACGAATCTTTATATAAAAAAAACAACTTTCCCTTACAGTAACTTCTGACACATCAAAATATTCTACCTATTGGAAATTAATCGGTGGATGGTGACCAGCAGTGGACTCGTAAGCTAACTGGATGTACCTGCATTCCCCAGTCAGTCAGTGATTCTATTCCCACCGAGGCTCGAACCCAGTGCTCATAGTTTCAAACGCCAAAGCGTTATCTACTAGACCACTTGGGCCACGAGAGCCACCTCTTGCTCTTGTGCAACAACAGATCATATGAATTATTTAATTGAATTTTTAGATTTTCCCATCGATTGACTGGACTGAATTGGTCGGTCTCAGGTGGACAAGTCTGTTGGCTTCTTGTGCAGATGCTAAGAGTAATGTGGTCTAATATCTAAGTAATAATTGCTTAAAATAAATTCAACTTACAATATCCACCTGGATTTACTCGACTCTTTGAATAAATAGAGAATTACATCATAAAAAATAATAATAATTACAAAAATTGAAAAAGCTTACTTATGATGGATAATACTAAAGCACCAATTATCATTACGAAAAATTGAAGTGTATCAGTGTAAAGAACAGCTGCTAATCCACCTGACAAAAAAACAACAACAGAGAAACAAAAAAAAAATTTGAAGCTAAAATTATTACTTCATTTTTATTAGCTTCATTATGTGATTTATAGACAGTAGGCCCCAAGGACGAACGCCGCTTCCACCTACTTTACTTTAGACTGAAGTGACCACGGCAAATGTTATGCATACCTAATCATCGCCTTACGTTTTGAGTTGTGTTGGCTGACATAGGTGGATTAGGTTGGATGGAAATGCGTTGTGGATAATCAAATCGAAAACTTGAAATCACTCCATGGTGTCGTCGTAAGATGCTGCATGCTGTCTGGTTGAGAGTTCTTGAGACGCTGAAAATTAATGCACGGAGACTATTGGCAGCATAGCTCAAAAAGCCTGTTTCTTGAAGTTTGACTCTATGAATTTTCATGCAAAGTTTCACAATGTCTATTCAGTTCAATTCTACTTTAACCCAGGCGACTGACTCAATAGTATTATCAGCCCATGAATGATAAGTATGGCTGATAGCTCAGTAGACATAAAACTCTACTTCAGATAACGGACCTCTCCTTTTTCATTCCTTCACGTTACCAGTGGAACATAGAGAGAGGGCTTCAAGCTAGAGGCCTTGAAGTTTCGGTAGCAATGGTGATTATTTTTACAGGATGGGGTTGCTGCTGGCCTCATGTCCAACCTTTCCTCTTTACCAGTAGTATTACTGGCTTAGCGAGGTAAAGGAGTGAGTTAGTGGCTAGGGAATCGAACCCCGAACCAAATGAGGCATGGCTGGTGAGCATTCCACCGCTTGCTTGCCACCGTCACGGACCTCTAACTACTTTTTAATTAGCTTCAATATTCTCAGAAGCAATTTCAATGCTATAAGAAAATATTACCAGTGGAAAATGATATAAGATGGATATTGGTCAGTTTTTATTGCATTGTAATTATGTATATATGATAAAAACATCATTTAAATGGTTTGATTAGTTATTCAGTCAAATTAGACATCTTGACCAAGTTGAATACTTCTCAGTAGTAAGTTTGCAGAGATTTGATTTGTTACCGATCTGATCACGAGCGGATATCAGTTACAGAACCATTGGAAAACCAAGGAGTACCAGATAGCTGTTTCACCCTAGTTTTTGACTCTTCATCAGTACGTATCCACCAGAGTTCGAACCCAAGACGTTATACTTACATAGCGAGCTTATAGAGTATTCAGTGAGTCACGGGTAATTCAATCCAACTTCTGTTAATTCGTGATACATTGCGAAACAGCTTCCTTTTACAAATGTGTTGTCAAAGCATTTCCCTATTTAACTGCATTCAGATTATACCTACTCCTAAATACACACACATACACGTATGCTCATAAAACTGTTAATTCAAATGCCAATATCATCATCAATGTTTCTAAGCTGCAGCATTAGAATTTATGAAAAACTAAAAACAAAGTAATTCAGTGGTGAAGAAACTCTCTCTCTCTCTTCGTGAATTTCACTTTCTCTAGCTGTCCCCAGCTCCAGATTTATGCACGATGTGTCCTTTTTTCTCTGTTCTTTTTGTTTCCCAAAAGGAGGATAAAAGTAACCAAAATGAGAAAAAAAGAGATACCAGTGTCACAACATATAGCTAGCTGTGCATAGAGCGCTGCTAATTTTAATCAATACACAAAAAACGACAGTTGAACAAGGGGATAAAGGGATTATGTCATGAGAATTACAATTTTCGCCATAAAAAGAAAGAGGAAAAAAGAAAAGATAAAGGGAAAGACAACACACACCTATATAAATGTAACTTCACAAAGTTGGCTGGCTATTTTCTTTACAACTTTCACATTTGTGCTTAAATTTTTTTGTAAAAAAAACAGTCAGTAGGCATAAGTCTTTGTAGTATTTGCTAATATTATAGGACCAGTGCAAAACAGATAGTGTACTATTACTGAAAATGATCGGAAGTAGAGTAATAGCACTTTTCAGCACCTAGCTGTTAGTTGATTCGGTGACACATTGGCAGTGATAGCATTTGATAGTTACTCCTGCTTTACACTTTTTTTATTCCTGCACGTTCCCAGTTAGAAATAGGGCTTCAAGCTACAGGCCTTGAATTTTCGGTAACAGTGGTGTTTATTTTTACGGGATAGGGTTGCTGCTGGCCTCAGTCTTATTACTACTAGCTTAGCGAGGTAAATGAGGGGTGCATCGGTGACCGGGGATCGAACCCCGAACCACGTGGGGCGTGCTCGGCGAGCATTCTACCGCTGTGCCACCGACGCACCCTGCTTTACATGTGTTCACAATAAATTTACATGCTTTTAGGGATCATAATCGGTATCAGGTATTTAACAGATTAACTTAACTGATTTATCCAATATAAATTTCATAGAAGTATACATTAATCGCTTTCAATAATGGTTTCAATAAAGTTCAAGATGTCTACAGGTATTATATACATATATATGTTAGATGGTTGAAGGTAGTCGTCAGGAATCTGTAGATTTAAACTCCTTGTTGACTGGCAATCAATAGCAAGGCGTATTTACAAACTTGAAAGAATTAACGTCTCATCTGTGTGACTAGAGATGGTGCCAACCAACGCCACAGTCAGAGACGTTACACTTCTCAGCTATATTAACAACAAGTGGAGACAATTATTCAAAGACGAACATCCCTCTCTTGAATATTTGATAAAAATAAAGTGACCGGGTTTTCAAAGTGGAATGTCGACCTAAATTCCATTCATTCAAGTTGCCACACTTCATTGAGCAGCACACATTAAAGTAAGGGAAATGACTGAATGCATCTACGCCACTGAGAACAATTTTGTACCGTGTTGACAATAATCTCCAAACATTCTTCTTTAGTGGCCTGAAACACTACATTCACTTAGCCTATACCTCCTGAGGTGGCTCAAATCAACAGTCAAGAACCACATAGATTAATACTAGGCTTTCCGTTTGACTGCCCCTAAACTATTTTCCTGCGTAAATGTGTGTTAGCTATAATTGGTTGTGGAGGAGGAGGAAGATATTAGTTAAGCATGCGTGTAACACAAACTACAGGACGAATGGACGAGGATGTCAAATCGAGAATCGGGAAGGCGAGAAACACATTCATCAACCTGAAACCAATCTGGAAATCTTCCGCTGTCACTCAGCATCAACAACAAAATTCGGATTTTCAATACAAACGTCAAGTCAGTCAGTTCTTCTATACGGATCAGAAACTCGGCGGCGGGTCACAAAGAATATTTCCAACAGCCTGTTGCTGACCTTTATCAACAACTGTCTTCGCTCTACACTACTGAAGATCAGATGGCCGCCCGAAAGAATCACCAACAAGAAACTATGGGAACAAACAAAACAAGAACCAATCGCCCAACAAATATGCAGGAAAAAGGGGAGATTGGTTGGACAATCGCTGAGGAGGCCGTTGAGTGACATCGCGCGTCAGGCCAGTGCTCGAGTGGAACCCGAAAGGGAAGCGGCGAGTGGGACTTCCAAGGGTGACATGGAGGAGATCGTGTGAAGAAGAGTTGAAACAGTATGGACTAACATGGATGCAAGTGAAAAGGACAGCAGAAGACAGAAGCAAGTGGAGACGTGCAGCTGAAGGCCTATGTTTCACTAGGAACACAAGGGAACAATAATAATAATGTGAAACACATGTGTTCTTGACTATCTCAACTGATGCAGTTTCCTGAGAGCTTATAAACAGGCTTTCTCTACATCTGAGCTCATTATTGGACATACACAACTATGGCCAGAAGAGCCACTGATCTCTTCATATCTTCTATTTTCAACAGCTATGTGTCTCACATTTGTACAGAAGGACGTAGTGAACTGCTGCACAGTAGACACAATCTCTTTATCTCCAGTCCTTTATAATGACTATTCGAATGTGTGAATATACATATAATTAAAAAATTATACGTATAAAAATTAATTATTATCTACTAACCCGTAGACTATTTCATAATTGTTCAATTTCCATCAGATAATTAGATTCCAGCACATTCTATCAATCTACCAGTTTAAATTCCCTGTGCATAGACGAAAATTTGTTTTCAAGTATTGGTTTTCTAGGGATTTTGTTTGATTCCATGGAGGATTTCATCATTGGTTCTCTAACTGATGTCACAGATCATGATGAAATCCTCCATCCAATCAAATAAAATCCCTATAAAACCAATACTTGAAAATTAATCTGATGCTCACTAGTGACTGGCCCTATTCAGGCAGTTAACCTGGAGTTATAGTGTGAAGCCGTGACCAGTAGGGTACAGCAGGTTGAAGATGAAGCAGTAACTCATCGAAGAAGACATTTCGAAATGGTCGCGCTATGTCGTGAATTGGCAGAAGTTAGAATTCAAGGACCATTGGATCGGGTCCCAGTGGCTCAATGGTCTACGAGCACACTAGCCTTGTAACCAGAAGGTCCTGGCTTCGAATCCCGGTGGGTGCGTACTGCGGAAGAGTCCCAAACTAGAACGAAACAGATGTCCAGTACTCTCAGGAAAATTTATTTTGTTTTTGCTTTCAATTTTCAATGATACGTTAGAGTCTGGGAGTACTGGACTGCTACTCTATGTTGTCCTAGTTCTGAACCCTTCGTCAGTACGCACCCACTAGGATTCGTTCAGTCTTAGGACATTCCGGATAGGAGGCAAGCTAAGCTCGTGGGCCATTCAGCCAAATGGGACTCGATTCCACGGCCAATTCGTGATATATACATGTATATATGTCTGACTTGGTGGACTTGCCTGCTTTCTCCGACTGTCTTACTAGAAACCCAGTACTTCGAGCTGGTTTTCCAATGGTTCTCTCTCTCTAACTGATGTAAACTTGTGATCAACCCTACAATCAATAAAATCCCTGAAAATCAACACTTGTTAAGTTAAACGGTGTGACGCTGATTATTCACGTTTCATTAATTCAGGTCAAAAATTTTTTTTAAAAAAAAAGCAATATTTGTGATTAGTATATATGTTAAAATGCAATTCATGTACATCCTTCTTTTCCGGATTAAACAGTACTTCGAATAGTAATTATAATAATAATATTGAATGACAATCTAATTTTTGATTTATAACTTTTTTTTAAATGAGATAAATGTGACTGATAGTTGCATAACTAGGTAAATTCATTTTAAACATCAAAATTTGAATCGAATTGATACTAGGTATGATACGCAAATGATTTATTTGGATTCACTATTATTACTATTATTATTATTATCACAGTGCCTCAGTGGATAATCTTCATTCCACTCGGTTTCACTGACATCATTCTCAGTTGGCTTCACATGTAGACGGACAGTCGTCCACAAGCTTTCATTTCTTCCTCATATGATATATTATCCTCCATGTGTCCCCCCCACCCGTCCGATACCAAACTCATTGCTTCTCATACAGTTTCCACTTAATCGCCTGGTGTGTGGTGTAATTCATACTACTCAAAGCATTTCCAATCCATTTCCTTTTCCCCTCAACATATTTGTTAGGCAATAGATTTTTTGGTCACTTTGTTGCCTATCCTTCCCGACCAGCTATTTGATCTTGAGTATCGTGTAGAGAGGTAGCTGCTGATATTAGGCCACTATTCACTTACTCATTGGCATGTATATATTAGCGGTTTATAGTATAAAGTCTTATATTTAAGCGAGACAGTAAACAGAGATATGAGGCTAAAAGTATTGTAATATCGAAGAACAATATAGTTTCATTGGAAATTATAAGTCACAAGGAGTGGATGCATCCAACAGCGCCAGCCATCACTGAGAACGATTTTGAGCCATATCACCAACTGTCTCCAGCCTTCATTGGTTTTTACAGTCCCGAGGACCCCAACCAGAAAGTCTACACCTCCATACGTGACTGGCTTAAACTAACTGTTGTGGATTTCATTGACTGGTGCCATGTTTTCTTTTGACCACCACTACCTAGCTCTTTTCCAACTTGATCCATTCTATGTCAGTCAGTTAACATTGCCCGTCAGTTGGGGAAGGCGATGGCCAGGTTAGGCATGCGCAATACATGTCCAAACCAATTCAGTCAGTGTAACTTCACACCCTCGTCTATTGATTTCCCCTCCTCCTCCTTACCTAGCACTCGACCGATAACTAACCTCAATATTGCTCACCCTATTATACCACTTCATACGGGAGATAGAATGCAGGCACCTATGGTCAAAGATAGCTAGTCTTTTCGTATCTTCCACTCTCAATAGCCAGGTCTCACAGCCATAAAGGAGGATGCAGTGAACTGCTGAGCAGTACACGTGCACTTTGGTTGATAGCCGGATATCACGTCTACGCCAGAGACGGCGTAAACTGGCACATGCGAAACGAGCCTTCTCTATCCATTCTAAGATTTCGTCATTGATCAACCCGTTGGCGCTGGTTGATGCAACTTCCCAAATAAGTGAAGTGGTCAACGTGAACGGTGATTGAAGGTGATATAAAAATCTAGGTTGTGGAAGGATCTGAACCAAAGGCTTCCGAATTACAAATTCGGTCACTTATCAACTGAGCTACTGGACAAAACTGTTAACTAGGTCGTCAATTCATAGCTACACATCACCCGTGCGATGACTGCATTGAAATAATAGCCTATTTAGGAGTTGGGTCTTGTAGATCACCTGATATAAAGCACTGTGAACTAGTGAGTTAGAGGCCGATATTCTGAATCCTGCAGCAACGCAGATTCTCAATCCACCTTCAGTCACCACACATTTTGTTTGACCGGGTTTTTTTCCAAAAGCTCATAACTTCTGACTAACGTCCTGACAGTGAGAGAATCTATCTGGTTATTGTTTGATTTAATGGACTAGTTACTTTTGTCCAGCAGATGATGATTGAAGGAGAGGAAGAACTAGTAGCCCCTGGATCACCATAATTTAACATAATTTACTAATTAGATGTATGTATAATTGTATCATAATCACTAAACAGCCTCCCATTTGTGATAATACAGGAATGAAGCTAACAGTTCACATTAATTCCACAATACTTTTGTGCTGTTAAAATAAGCTATTAGGACTTTGTTATCCAGAACACGTTGTCACTGGTGTGAAGGTTGATGCTCCTATTCATTTTATCAGACTGAAGCAGGTTGAGGCGAATTTGATCAACCTGTGTCTCATTTGGTTGGAAGTCGAGTGATGATTAATATGCTAACCAACCCTAACTCCATCCACATTTTTTATACACAAAATAAACGTAAACAGGAATCGTAAAATTTTCAATGAAACTGAATGTTCCACAATGAATGATCAGAGTATTGGTATAAATTAATGCCAATGAAATCTCACCTGTGACAGTTATAAGACCAGTTAATAGAAGCAACAGAACTATGGATACCCAAGTGTTCCAGTTTAGTGCTTCGGTTAGAAATAATGAACCTGAATATAAATTAACCTGGAAAACAAAATAACGGTAATAAAGAAACTTTTTACATGTATACACACATATATATATGTAGATATGATTTTCTAACTATTACTAAAGAGTACGCAGAAGTCATATTTTTTTATTCCTTCACGCTCCCAGTGGGACATAGAGGGGGCTTCAAGCTAAAGGCTTGAAGTTTCTGTAGCAGTGGTGTTTATTTTTACAGGATGTGGTTGCTAGCCTCATCTGGCCCAACCTCCCCTCTTTGCAAGTCCTATTACTGGCTTAGCCAGGTAAATGATTGTGTCGGTGGCTGGGGATCGAACCCCGGACCATGTATATGGTCGGCGAGCGTCTTAACCGCTGTACCATCAACATTGTGTATAATTACCCATTAAACAGCTTAAATGTTTGCTTAATTTTAGCCTAATCTGTTTCCTTTTCAAAGGTTAAGAATATTTTAATACGAGAAGTCTAGTCTAGTTTACTAGATGGCTCTAAGGCCAAAGAAGGTGGGAAATTTGATCGTGTGAGTAGCTGCCCTGCCCTGGAAAAACAACCCAATAGCTAAAGAAAAGTTAAAGCACAAAAGATTTAAAAAGAAATAGTAAATAAATTTATCCTTAATATATGTGTAAAACTTGGGCACTGTGATGGTGAGTAATTCCATATTAGCTTGTTTGTTACGTGTATATTATTATTATTCTTTCACGTTCCCAGTGGAACGTAGGGCTTCAAGCTAGAGGCTTGAAGTTTCTATAGCAGTGTTTAATTTTTACAGGATGGGTTGCCAGCCTTATGCCCAACCTTTCCTCTTTACCAGCTTTGTTTTCGGCTTAGCGAGGTAAAGGAGTGCGTCAGTGGCCGGGATTCGAACCCCGGACCATGTGCATGGTCGGCGAGCGTCCTAACCACTGCGCCACCGACGCACAGTGGTTGGTTATAATTGGTGAAATGATTATGAACAATAAATTTTTTCAAAACGTCATTCAGTAAATAATACTGTTTCACTGTGTGATACACCTAATAAACAAACTAATATGACATTAAATTTATCTTTCTCTGGAATCGGGAAGATGAAATAATACCGACTGGTGAAAGAGATCCGGAAGTCATTCCAGCTAATGTTTCTTCTTTTGATGAAAACAAAAGTAAGAATACGGACATGGAATGTTCGAATCATATTTTAGGTTGACTGCTGAGCCTGTTCAAACAACTGCAGAAGAAATGAGAAGATATGGGTATAGAAATGACAGGAATATGTTAGAGAAGGTGAAAATGGTAGCAGACTCTCTAAATTGATAACTGGAGTCAATAATCAGCTCTAGCCACCCAGATGGTAACCTCGAAGACATTGAGGGTGTGGCTATCCTAATATCAACAACAGTATGTATACGTGTGTGATTTTAATTATTATTAAAGAGTACACTGTCTGAAACGTCGGCGATGTGTTACTTCGATTGGACACTAGTAACTAGTGTGATGTGTCTGGCTAGTCTTTTCTTTGGTGCAGACTGAATTCTATCAGTCAGTCAGGCTGGCAATGTGGCCACCATGCCACTATGTGGTAGCTCGCCATCACGGTGCACGTTGATTTCATGATATTTCATGATATATTAGATGGCTGGAGGCAATCGGCCACAGGAAGCCTTGCCGAGACCTAGGTTTCGTGCTTGTTGGCACTCACCACCAGTAGTCAGCAGGGCGGCGTATCTGCAACCATGGAGGAAGGAACTCATATCCCTTCTGAGATTCGAACATGCGTCAACCAGTGCCGCCTGCAGTCATAGACAATACCACTGAGCTAGGTGGGCTCTTTTAAAACATGTATTTGAAGTGAGTAAAAGAGATAACTTGTGTGTGAGTAAGTAGTGAGGTCTTTGTGATTGAGTTGCCCAAGATCAAATCTAATCCTTACAAACCAAACTATTGAAAATTTCGAAACTATTTAGGAAAACACCATCGTTTCAACTAGAGGCGGAGGGCATTAGGTGACAATTATCAAAACCAGAATCGTACAGACAGCGCAGACATTAATCACTCTGAAATCAGTGAGTTTGAAAATCTTTTAGACTTAGCACACAAAAAAACTCGCATTTTCAAAACCAATGTTTAGTCAATTCTTCTATATTAGTCAGAAATTTAGTGTGGCACAAAAAGCATTTTGGATAGGCTTTCGACTTTAATTAGCAGCTATCTTCACTTCATGCTGAAGATCAGATGGCTGGCTATAAACAATTAGCAACAAGAAACTATGGGAAAAAAACCAACCAAGAACCTATTGCTCATTGATTTGATGATATTAGATGGCTGGAGGCAATCGGCCACAGGAAGCCGATTGGACACTAGTAACTACTGGTGGTGAGTGCCAACTAGCACGAAACCTAGGTCTCGGCAAGGCTTCCTGTGGCCGATTGCCTCCAGCCATCTAATATATATATCATCAAATCAATGTGCACTATGATGGCGAGCTACCACCTAGTGGTATGGTGGCCACATTGCAAACCTGACTTATAGAATTCAGTCTGAACCAAAGAAAGGACTAACCAGACACATCACACTAGTTACTAGTGTCCAATCAAAAAACCTATTGCTCAGCAAATATTCAGAAGAAAGTGGGGATGGTTTGGACAAACGCCGAGATGACCACCGGGTGCATGCCAGGCCCTCCAGTGGAACCCGAGTGGAAAACTCAAGGGAATAATTATAATATACAATATATGTCATTGTAGCTACTTTGGGTGCATCGGTGGTTCAGTGGTAGAGCGCTCTCCAACCACGCATGTGGTCAGAGGTCCAACTCTTGGCCATTGCACTCCTAAACTTCACTAAGCCGGTAGTGAATCCGGTAAAAAGGGAAAGTTGGGCATGAGACTGGCAACCTCGCCCCGTAAAAGTTAAACACCACTGCTACTGAAGCTTCAAAGACCAAGTTTGAAGCTGTATGTTCTACTTGGAACACAAAGGAATCAAATAAAACAGGTGTCGTGCGTCATAAATGTAAATACTTGAGGAAAATTTACGAAATAATAAAGAGTAAATATGGCCATATTATCCATTCCTACAAGTGTTGTTGTTCTTGTTGTTTTCACTTTTTTAAAGTTCCACAATGAGGAGAATTGTGTATGAATTATGCAGACTAACTTTTAGAGGCTGAAGGTATTGACATTCACGGGGATAGTAAGAAGTATACTAACGCAAGATCTAATACCCACAACTTCTATACTATTCGTTCCGCATAGACCAAAGGCAAAGCAAAACACCAGAATTGATCATCCAAATTACGAGATATATTTTGGGATCAAATTGGAGTGCGAGATGATCGCTTAGCTAGCTAGGGATCGTTCATGAACCAATGAACGAACGTGACACGACGGAGTACCAAATGGCGTGGATGCTTGACTGGAAGCCTTCAGCTACTAAAAAAGTTGACTTAAACAGTAAGGGTCAGCATCCAATGTTGTTCAGTGATGAATGCTGTGGCCAATAATTTTGGGGAATTATTTACCGCTACAAACTCAAGAAATAAAAAGCAGTCAGTCGAAGAAAACAGTCAAATAACACTTTAAATTTAAATTGAATCCTTTTAATCTCCATATTGTGTTTTTTATTCGCTTTAAACATATTTACAACTTTTATTGATTAACTACAATATACACTTTCTCTATTTTCTAAATTTGCAAAGTCATGGGTCCTTTGATTAATTTACCGACTAAAAAATATACATTTATACTGAACACTATTCATCTATACCAATCATTCTCAGAAACAAACAACCATTGTTTGTTTGGTTTTTTCTAAAAATTTCAACTGTTAGGAAAATAAACAATCACTAAAACCCCTGAAGAAAATTAATATCATTACAACAGTGAGTGGCGGTCGCTTTATATAATATGACGCCGATTGGTAGAAGTTAGTATTGATGGACCGTTGGATTGCCTCCGAGTTGCTGAATAGTCGTCAGTGAGCGCTCAACGCATAGCATGTGATAATGATGATGTAAAGTGAAATAAATGAGGTGACAGCATGGAATGAAAAAAATGTTTGAATCACGTGACAAAATTAATTTCAAGGTAACAAAAGTGATTATAAAAATTATTTTCGTTATGTATTGTCAAAGAGTTCGCTTTGTTAAGCAATTGGTTTCTCGTAGCCTTTGTAGAGGATGGTAAATGATGCACCCAGAAGCTGTGTAACCATAATGCTCCATATCAGATCTGATTGCGGAAGCTGTAATGCAGAGACTTGAAAACATTATCCTACCAAATGTCAAAGCCAAAATTTGGATACGTTACGTGATAATCAAAAGAAATGACTTAGACATAATTCACAACCTAATAAACAACATCTTCAGCGACATCGAATTCACAACGGAAGAGGAATCCGCGGACGAAATTCCATTTTTGGACGTCTTAGTCAAACGAACAATCACAGGGGAATTAGAAACTCAAGTTTATAGAAAATCAACTCAGACGGTGCAAGCACTCAATTACAACAGCAACAATCCAATAACACACAAAAGGAATTGTATACAAACACTATTCAAGAGGGCCAGCCAGGACTCATTGCAGTACTCCCACCTTAAGGAAAATTGAAGAAAGATATCTCATGGACATCTTCCAAAAGAATGGATATCCACGGAATTTCATCAAAAGACATATACCTCCATGCCAGCCAACCAGCCAAATCAAAGTCCCCTAAGGAAAGCATAAAGAAAATCGCCCTTCCATATATAAAGGATATCTCATAAATCACTACAGGACTCTTTAAAGCTTTAGGAATTGACGTCGCACACAAACCAACAAAATCACTTCACTCAGCTAGCCAGCTAGTCAACCAAAAGACTCAACAACGAAAGAAGATAGAACCAACATCATCTACGAAATAAATTGTAACAACTGCGAAAAACACTACATTGGCCAAAGTGGACGTCCCCTTCGTCATCGTATCGATTAACATAAACTAGCCGTCAAAAGACATAACATCCACTCCCTACCTCATATCAGTGCATACAGACAGCCACGGACATCAATTCGATTGGGACAACATTTAGATATTAGACAGAGGAAACACCAGAAAAGCCAGGGAATGTTTGGAAGCCTGGTATTCCAGTGAATCGACAATTTACAAGCACGTTGACATAGATAAAATTAACCATTGCATAAGAAAAAAACCTCATGCACATAAAGTTAGATTTCAGGTCAAGGGAACAATCAATACTAATACAAGTAGACCAGAAGGTGTGAAAACAGGCAGGAGCAACTAATAACATTCAAGGTCAACAGGAGAAAGGACAAATAAACCTGTGGAGAAATTTAAAAGCTCACTCCAAATTGAAGTATGCACTGAAGATATGTCCTGTGATGTAAAGCAGTGAAAGCTTAGCAAATAAACCATCCAGCTAGCTCTAAGAACACAACTACATCAAAATTTGGTACGTGTTGAACGCATCAGACACGAGTATATTTGCTTCGTATAGAAGAAGTCTTTGCAATACATAACATAAAGCCAGGACACTGCACATAAGAATAATTCGTATGATTTCTTTTTCGTTACCTTGGAATTAATTTCATCATTTGATTTCTAAACCTTTTTTATTCTTCTTTCATTCGAAGTAGTTTAATCATTTTGCTTAGTTATATTTCCATTTACATCAATACATGCTGGATATTTTTTTAAATTCTTATTGATGACAGTTCACTCATCTCATTTTATCATCTTATTACATTTGACTTGTCAAATTCACATACTCATATTTCTCTCTTCCGAATGTACTTAATCTTTCTATAAAAAACAATTAGCCCTGTCATTCACTCATTCACTCATGTCTATTGAAGTTTGTTTTGTTGACCTTTCTTTACCCTTTCATTTATCTATTCATTCTAATCACTGTGTGAGTTATAATCATCTGCACCAAATATTGTTGCACTTTAGTATGTCTACTCATGCATACAAACACACACAACAAAATTGTTTTTGATTGTCTCTATTGCAATCCATTGCTATTCATAAATACAACTGTATATGTATAAGAATGAAATTATTTAAAAGAGAATTTCCTTAGCTAAAATCGCTGTTTTACATCCGTTTTATGATGACATAAGAACCTTTTTTTTAAAATGAAATCTGCACGACCTATGAAGTAACATACAACACAATACAAGGCGAATCACTGGGATCTGACCTAATGGCCTAGAAATTCTAACTTTTACCAGTTAGTGACTTTAGCCCACCCACCACCACCACCAGCAGCTAGTATCATCGGCGAGTGTTTGACACCTGGGCTACCTTTCTGTACATCTACATATTTGCATCTAATACATCATGTTTTAATTTTTAATTTTAACAAAATATGATCACAAATCGTATCAAACACAGTAGTGAATTCATTAAATGTTTTAAACCATATAACTTTCATGCATCTAATAAAACTAAGAGAAAACATCATGGTGGTTGGCAACGTGCTCTCAAACGGACACCATTATATCGCACAACTATTCCTGTTATTGTCAGTTCAAACTGCAGTTCACATCCCAACAAAATTATGCATCTCCAGTCTCTCTTATCATCCGATACTTATCACAATACGGCGAAAGTTGCATTACAAGAAACATGGCTCCATGATCTTTATGACGACAACCTGGTTTCTCTAAATGGTTTCACATTGTTTAGACAAGATCGAATATGCCCCAGAAAGAAAAGAGGTGGTGGCGTCGTAAGCTTCATTCGTTCTCAGTGGTCAACTTCAAATAATGTATGTTTTTCTTTCTCTAGTGACTTTATTGATTGTATTACAGTCAAATGTCGTCCGAAACACTTATCCAAGTTTAAATACGTCTTCATCTCAAACATTTATGTTACTCCTGGCTGTTCTGCCTCGGATCTATCTGATTTTGCCGATGAATTCACAGCATTCGCTATTACACATCTTGAAAACTCTTTATCAGTCGTCACAGGAGATTTCAGTACCTGCGACTGTTCTTTTCTTGAATCACTAGGTCATGTCAATATTGTCAAATTTCCAACTCAACTTGATAAAACGCTGGATCTAGTATTTACTAATGATGCGGAAATATATGAAGCACGCAGACGTGCTCCCATAATGAACTCTGATCATTGTATTGTTCGGATATTACCCAAGATATATAGCAGATGTCACTCTAATATCCTCTCGAATCTCTCCAGGAAAACACAACAAAGATGTTACTCACAAGAAAACGTGCTCAAACTAAGATGTATGTTAAGTGATACAAACTGGGAACTTTTCACTGAACACACTGGATGATACTATTTCCAATCTGACTGACTATCTTAAATTCTGCCTTGATGTATGCTGTCCAAAACAGATACTTTTCAAAAAAATGGACCGTTTCTCTTCCCCTCATCTCAAAAAGCTTCGAAGAGAAAAAGAGAGACTGTACAAGACTAAGGATAAAGCTGGTCTTAGAAAGATAAACATCCAAATTAAATCCGAAATCAATAGGCTAAACAATATTTATAATATTTATTTTCACTCCCAACCGGCTTGACCCTACTGGTTACGACTTCTCACTCTAGAATTCCAGAAAACTTCGTCCTATAAGCCAGTCACTAGTGGACATCAGATTAGTTTCCGGGAGTTAGTTTGTAGGGAATTGATTTGTCTAAAGTTTGATCATGTGCATAAATTCAACTTCTAACATTCTAAATCAATCTGCAAAAGGATTCTAAGGGATATGGTCACACGAAAAATAAGCGCAGATCAGGAAAAACAAACATGATAAAACTAGGCATGTTTAGAAGTGAATATCTTCCGGGACGAAATACCTTCTGAATCTCTAAGAGGAAAAGTCATATCCTACTCTGCACTTTTAGTGGTGTCGAACTAACGTCTGACTGAGAAGTTTGTGACAAAAATAATGTTATACCAATCCGTGGACTCTTTTCAAATCCAGGCAGTTATGAGACATCCTATAAGTTGTCATTTGAAGCAGTAATAACTAACAGTGTTTGCTAAATCTGCTTCATACCACCAATCCTATTTAATAGTATTACTGACACAATGACATGGATGCTTTAACTTGATTACAACTTTCAGGAAACAGACTCGCTGTCAGAAAAGCAGATAGATGACTAAATCTCACAGTTGCTGAGAAAATTCAGTCTTCTGGGTACTTTGAGGACACACAAGAGCACTTCTTTCACTCGTTTACCCCTATCACATATTCAAGATTGTGTCATACAACATCCCGTGATTTACTCTCAGTTTAAGAATAGGAAGTGTCGTTATAGAATACGTTGGCCAATTGACTACCACACCAATTCCCGATAAAATTTCAGAGTGCTCCTTTTATATTCAAAACTGATGTCACCAACAGTTGGAAGAATAGCAAGACAAGAAGATCGTTTTGCCAAGATCTAACGCTGTAACACTTTTAGAACGAAAACACACTAACATATGACTTTACATATAAGCAGATTAATTTCAGTTTCTACACTTGCAGAAACTACTTAATAAAAGAAACTAAGAAAATCAAGTGGCTAAAAAAAGGAGAGACGAAGGGTGGTAGCAAAATCATATTTCTGGAATAACAAGGAGGGAGTAATCCAGAGCCTTAGTGGTCATTTTCGAACTATTCCATTAAAAGAGTATGATCACTTTGTAAACTAGACAAGTTTTTTAAAGTGCAAAATATATCAGCAGCAGATCGTTTTTAATCACATTACCAGAATCCTTACCAGGATAACTGTAATTATAAGAAGATGTATGTGTCTAGAATACTTTGCTTCATTCAACTCACTCTCATATATATTATATGCTCTACAAACAGGCTAAATATGTTTTTGCATGTGCATGTGAAGGTAATATTGGTTGTAGACACTTGCATAAGGATAACAACAATTATTGATTAGATGCACAAGCAAAATTATACGTCTTGTCCATAATTTGATTGTAAATAGTCACAACCACCACAAAACATTTTATTAGTTACCAGGTATTTTCAAAGGATTCAAATCCAAAGATGACTGTCTATCTTAATTGTTACAAATAAGCCCTAATCCTCAAAAGGAATGGCTAAAAGTAAATTTGAGGTTTCATAAAAGCCGAAGTAATATTACAAATTGTCAATGACGATCTTGTGTACTCAGAAGCTACTAAAGTTCCTAGGAAGGAGTTGGAACATACTGGAAATCCGCTTAACGTATTTTTCATTCTTTTTCGTGCCACAGTATTGCAACTTTCAAAAATATACTAAAAAGGTGTAGCACAATTTGGATGTATTTATTATTTGTCAGAAATTGTTTGGATCATGAAGGTGCTTCAGAAAAACCTTGGCTGAATAACATGGTGATGTGCAGCCAGTCACTCGCTAAGATCTGGTGAACCCAGTCAGTTAAAGATGATTGTAGACTTATGACCAGTTAGTGAAATACTAAGTCCTGAAGATATAAATAGCCACGAGCACACTATTTAGCACTGAACACTTGTTTCTCTTTAACTATTTAGAATACGAAATACCGCCTGAAGATCTGCCTAGTCTACACGTTGTCTTGTCTGGGGTGGAAGTAGTTGCAATCGTATGTGTAAAAAACTTTGGTTTTATATTATTATATAGGACATGAAACAAGATGCACTGGGACAATGAGAATGTTTACAGACTGAGATAACAAGGTTAACAACATCATGCAGTTTTTCTGCCAAGAAATAATCGAAGCTTTTAAAAGGACTTCAAAATTTCTGTGGCCCTTTATTTAGCAGAAAATCAGTGAAATAAATCAATTCACTGAGGTGTAAATATTTATCAGTTTTATTTCATAATAGACCGGTGTGTAAATTAAATTTCACTCATGTCTCCTAATGTTATTAATTGTTTTATGTATAAAAACAAATTTTCATAAGATAGTGTACTGACTTACCGAAATTTTCGTGAAAATATAAAGTATGAGCGATAAAACAGCAAGATAAATGTGTATTCTTTCACCCCCAAAACGTCTTTTCATGTATTCTGGTAACGTGAAAACCTTAACAAAAAAAATAAGCGGATTGAACAGCAACTTACGCCGCTTGCAATATAAACTGGGAGAAAAACCCATCCAAGGAGCTGAAGTAAAATTGATGCCTAGAAAGCAAAACATGGGATGTCTTTTCGTTGACTATATTTTAATATTCAAATAGTGAGTAACAATCATCGCGTGATACATTGGAAGATTACATGGCTGATGTACGAATAAACAGCAGGCAAATATCCTGCCGATAGTACATATTAATTTATCGGCCACTAGTCTTGAAACCCTGCACTTACATTTAGTTCAAAAGCACCAACAGCTATACCTGCTGCTGCCCCTGACCCAGCAAGACCGATAAAATGTTCACTCCCAATGTTACTGGCAAACAGTGATGCACCCACCTAAAATAAAAATTATGTATCTACAAACGTTAACATACAGGAAGCCATGTCATAAACCGTCCAGCCAAAAAATATCCACTCACAGTCCCTCTTCTTGAAGCGAATAAAGCCTTGTGGAAATAAACAGTTTAAGAATACTTTGAAACTCACATATATTCCAGTTCCCAACAGAGCTATGAAGTATATCACAAGAATTATTATATCGAATACATTCAGATTCATTATCTCGGTAGACTGAATACTAAGATATAATTTAAGGATTAAATATATAATAAGGACAAGAAAGTAACCTGCTTTGAAAGCCACCTGACCAAAGAACAGAGATAATTCTACTGTTTTTACTCGAAGATCATGCAACGTTCAAAATTCGACCTATAAATAGACCTTTACAAACATTACGTTACATACCCACGGTCACAGACAGAAATTTCGGGAGGTACACAGCAAAGCGTTGATCTTACAATCCAAATTGAGTGATTAAAACAACTTTTCAAGTTCTGATATTATGTATACTCCTAATAATAATTCATTGTTTTGGGTTAAATTTATAAACACATTTATTTTGAATAACATTTTCTCAACCTTTCTGAAGTGTTTATCAACTTACAGAGTATAGAAAGGAACTTTTTTAATCATTGTCAATAATGAGTGCATCACTGATGATGTCAAATAAAGTCATTCACCTCCACTTTGACTTGTTCAGTAATCGTTCTGAGTCTCGAATTTAGTCTCATGGGATTCATATAGTTACTGATTAGTGCGGATTTCTCAAATACGAACATTTTAATGTCGGTTCGTTTGGCATACTAACATTTGATATGTTATTGAACAGCAGTGCTGAGAAAAATAGTTTTGTACAACAGCCTTCTGATCAACGGTTAACTGGAAACTGATAAATTTTGTAAGGCCTGAATACATAACCAAGAAGAAATTTTCATGAATTTAATCAGTTAGTAAATGTTGAAACGCCGATGATAGGCAAACATCTGGAATATTAGTCATCGAATTCCGGTTCAAATAACGGACTGATTACTGAGGACAAATAATACAAAAAGTTTCACTATTCCTTTCTTCTCAGTGATTGCCAAATAGACAGATAGTGAACTCACTAGCAGGCAAAATGTTTCAAATCCAATTACTGGCACATCCACATAGACTTCTGGACAACATTTTTAACCCATGAGTCGGTGACAACCAAATATTGTGTAAAAGAATCGTACTGACACCTTACTCAGTGATACATATCTTGAATTTTCCTCCGAATGTTTAAAATATTGTTTCGAGACACAGTGGTTAGAGCCCTAGCTGACCATGCACATTGTCCAGGGTTCGATCCCCTGCCGACGCACACCTGATATCAATGGTCGGCATGTGAAATTCGGGCTACCGGTATCACATACTGAAAATTCCATAGCTGTAACACAAATACGGTGTGAAATCTAGCTATAATCCAAAAAATTGTACACCACCTGGCCTAAGTAAGATCCCAGTGTACACATATAAGTGGATGTTATAAGCTGACCAACTTCCACACTTAAAGGATGAAAATCGGAATGCTTTACAGACAGATCTGGTGTCAAAGTATCAAGATTGTAAAAGAGACATTGATTATCTATGCTTAGACGGCTTGTGTCTAAATTTATTTCGGTTACGTTGTTCCGAATACAAACGGTGATTGCGCAGTGACCTCTGAGTGAATCGAGAATGACAGAACATCCGTATTTCCTTTTCTAGTTCTTATTACTAGGCGCATGTGGATTGTGAATCAGACTTTCTAAAAGAATGATGGACCAGAGTTTTGTTCGAGAAAACTCAGTCGACTTCATTTGAAACAATCTTAGGAAGTTTATACATTATATATCATTTTATCCCCAACTGAAATTAGATAGCTTAGACCCATGTATTTTCAAAGGCGTGATGTGTGCTTCGAAGCAGGCTTTGACGTGAACATTATCCCTCCTAATTGCTGGGACAAGAACACCAATTTGACCAGGTGGTCCAACACCCACAGAGGAAGGAAGGTTCTGCGTGGAGCTAGCAACCCTACCCCACTGATAACATCCTTAAAGCCACTGAAACTTCAAGGCACAGAAAATCTAAGTCTCTGCTGGAGACATGAAATGATGATACCTGGTGGCAGTCTTCCGAAAGTTAATTATCTGAAGTGTATGCTTTTGATGGAAAAAAAGTAAACAAAGGAGCAGTAAATGTTTCAGGCTGGGTGACTGATGGTATTGCTTATTTACAAGACAAATGAGGTGTTGCAGAATGGAGCTCCAAAGGACACCCTTATTGCAATCATTAGGAAAAGTCTTGGACATTACGCAATATCCCCTGGAAGATATTCGAGAAATAACACTATAGCTCTCTGAAAGCGACGATGAAGGCTACATATATCGACAATATCATGAGCAAGAAAGAAGAGGCAAGGCAATAAATGGCTCTCTGAGAACGCCTGAAAGCTGACAGAGGATAGAGGATGGTGGAGCAGAGAGTGAACCAGTGCGGAGATAGAAGACTAAAGAATAAACTGAATGCAGTCAGTGGAACACTGAACAAATGAGTAAAAAAGAGTGTCAGGAAAGACAAAAGGCGTCTTTACAACACACTTGCGACTGAAGCACAACAGATCGCATGTCAGGGAAATCTTACAGCTCTATACCATATCATCGATTGCCTATCCACGAATAGATCACCACAGATAAAAATGGTGCAAGATAGCAAAGAAACTTGATATCATTTAATACTGCAAATCTGGTCTTTTTTTCTCTATCGAAACTTGATTGTCTTGATAAACACCTAGCTGATCGCTTCAAAGGACTCTTGAATCACTCGCCACACACAAATCACTCAGAAATACCATCAACACTAGTAGCGAACACTAACCTTTCGAACAAAAAGGATTTGAATGTCGTAAAGTTTCTGGAAGGCAGGAAAGCAGCGATATCGTGTGGAATCACCCCACGGTTACTAAAAATAGGCCCCAATATACATGCTCATAGTACTACTGCGGTTGTGGGATAAAAGAAGGGTACCCATTCAGTGGAAAATAGGTTACTCTTTCAAACTACTAGAAAAATGCAACTTAAACATACGTAAAAATGGCACGGAATTATATTCCTGTCTATTCATGTCAAAACATCAGCCCTTGTCATGCTGGGAAGACTGGAGGACGTATTGTGTGGAAGACTTTTCCCAGAAAATTTCCAACTCAGGGAGAACCATCCGCAAGCACATTAAATTTTAAAACCGTGCGTCACTGCCAAGAGTTCAGAGTGGCAGTCAAATCCTTACTTCGGATTCACTCACTTTGTAAAGGCCTTCAACTGCATTAAATGTGAAGTAATTCCTTAAGTATTTCAAAATTGTGTAGTACGGCATTGTAAACTCCTGTAAACCTCATTCGGCAACTATATGATGGTGCCACCTTCTTTATAATTCACAACTGCAGCCTTGTAGAGGATTAAATTCGTGAATTCAAGTGACTGGAAGCCATCACACCATCAACAGTTAATCCATTTCTGTGTAGTTACAAACGTGTCGCAAACCTTCAGCAGCAGCTACCCGCGCTAATTCGATAGTGAAGACCGGACTGCCGGTCGGAAACGTTAGGCAACTAAAAACGTAAATGACCTAACATGGTATTATTCAGAGAATATTTAGAGGAAACAGGTAGACTGAACATAATCTGAGGCCCTCGGGGGAAGTGCAAATGGGAACCTATGATTTGGGCACCCGAGGGTGACATGGACGGGATAACGTGGAGAAGAGGTGAAAGCCTGTGAGCGGTCACAGAGTAAACCAAAAAAGATGACAGAGAACAGGAGAAAATGGCTAAGTACTGCTGAAGCCATATGTTCTGTACAGAACTCAAAGAAAGAACAACAATGTTCAGTAACAGCATTCGTCTAAAAAGGATTCTGAAAAAGTAAACGAAAAATTTTCTAGGGTAAGTTTAAATAGCGCCCATATGATGGTCATCATTTCGAACCTCTCGGTGTAGTGAGATGGATCAGGTGTCATCTATTGAAGTAAACACTGTGAACAGAACAAGTAACAACCACCAGCTGATGCAATCAAGTGGAAAAAAGTAGGCGTAACAACACGAAACAAAATAAAGCACCCAAGCGGACGCCAAAAACAGCTAATCTTAAATACCTTCAGCCTAACTGAGCAACCGAAGCATTGAAAGACAGCAACTGACAGAACTTTATTTATCATTCCATTTGCTTCCGAGTATAACATTGGGTCGTAACAGCACACCTCCTTTTCACACTGTCACCTGCCATCCCTTTTATCCTCGGATGACCAATTCGCCCCTTCCCATTTGTGTTCTACACAACAGCTTTGCTCTTCATTTCATTCAACGGTCTCCCCAGCACATGCCCAGCCCATCTCCATTGTCGATTGTCTCTTTTCTAGAGGTCTTTATCGCTAATTCTCTCTGGCATGCTATCTGATCTTCAGTATCCAGTGCAGCCACCTGTTTATAAAAGGCTTTGTTAGCCTGTTTGTTGGAGCACCATTTAGAAGAATTGGCGTAATATTTGAGTAGGAAGTTCGAACTTTGTTCTCTATGCTGTATGTAGCCGATTTCCGGAATGATTTATTATTTATAGGGATCACTCTTTTGATTTTTCCATCCTGCCTTTTACAGGTTTGCACATAGCGCCAATAGTTGAAACGATGCCGTCTAAATTAGTGAACTAGATGATTTCCCCCAAAGTTCTCTGAAAAGTGCGTCATACCAATATCCCATTATCTATGCACAGAATATTACTTCGCCTTAGATGAAATGCATCCTATTTCGATTGCGTGTGGAAGACATTTAATTAACAGCCATAATTATCCTGTTAATATGAGAATATCGCTTTTAATTTAAAACACAGTTTCCTATACGGGTTAGTGACTCAAAATATTTGCTTCAGTTTCAACCCCCTCACACCAATAAGGCCCCCGCCATCAGGACAGTGTAGCATTTTTGAAAGGATGCGGGATAATTCCTCGCAGAACTAATGATAGATTTGTTGGAAGTGTAGCGGCATACGAGTGTGATTCAGGACTCAAATCGAAATTCGAGGATGAATGCTTGATTGGCTAGGAATCGTGCACTATCAACCAAACGTAACATGATAGCGTGCCAAAAGGCGTGGTTGCCTAGCCGCGAGCCTTCAGCTAAACAAGTTGACTTAAACAGTGAGGGTAAGCATTCAATTTTGAATGATGAATGCTGTGGCCACTAATAATCCTTGGGAAATTACCTGCCTCAGAACCACCGATGCTTTATTTCTAATTATGCCTTTATAATTCAGCCGCCAACAAACCTTCTTCAAAGAGATAACAAGTTCAGTGAACTTGACCTGTCTTCTAAAAATGCCTTCACTCAGGTTAAAAACATCCACCGCGGATGCCACCCTACTCATGTGTCAGGACCCTGTGGCATCATTAGGTATCTCACTTTATTTATCCGACAC